TTACGTGTCGGTCTAAGTATTTTGTTACAGAAAAGTTGTGGTCCTCCTGTACAGCTGCAGGCAGATTTTTTTGGATAACGACACTTCCTTCTCTGTCTCAAATACAGAATAGTAATTAAAACCACTGAAAGCAAGGACGATCCTCCCATATTAAACTCTAATTTAATACTGCCGTCGTGGAGATGCTCGAACTGAAGTAGTCAAACCAGTCAAGTACCTCTTCTACCGTTACACTCAATGTTCCATTCGTAACGTGTTATGCCCGATGGATTCTTCTGACTTTTGACGTCTGAGTGTTGAGAACAAAAATGGCTTTCACAACTACTCCGCGTGAAAGTCGTCAGGTGAGTTCGCTTCCCTCACTGTTCACCAGGTAGATATTATCTGAGCACTCCAAATCAGCTACTTTAACAGTGCCACTTTTCTAGAATGCGATCGCCTTTGACAGGGTCAGTACTGCTTCAGGGGAGGAAATCATAAAGGATGTTGAACAGCACAGATAACAGAACATCTTTCTAGCGAACTCTGTAACAAACAGATAACCACTGAAGCTGATCTTCGGCCTTAATAGCAGATATGGCACCTCAATGCTGACAGTTGTCATGAAATAAAAACGAGTGCTCAACTATCGCATAACAATTTAAGATTCTTCACACAGACAAAAGCATAATATGAACAGCGCCATGCCAGAAACGCTCACCGGTATTTATCAGGAAACCACTTCAAAACCAATAACCATTCTGAATTTCGCCTATTTCTACATTAAGACTTCTAATCACGTCAGTGAAACGCAGCAGTGCCACAGCGTAAATGAAAAATATGAAATATATTTCGAAGCACGTGAAAATGTCGATGGCTAAGCGCGATTCCTCTGAATGAAAGGAACCCAAAGGAAAATGAATGCGATGATGACAGAAACAAGTTAGTGTAATTTAACCTGTTACGAAAAATAGCTAAACAGCTATGCTGAAAAGAAAAACAAAAACTAAATCGATTTACAAGTAAACGGTCTTTTTCGGAACGCATGGGTCGTAGATATTGAGCTTCGCGCCCTCCTCTATAAGATACTTCGAGATGTATATGCTGGACGATTCCCTGCAATCACCATTATGCACGCCAGCAAAGCCAACCCCATGTGAGGAAGAAAAAAATTTTACCTTGTGTCACCGGTGTTCTTTTTGAATGAAAAGCCGAGAATTGCTAGTGACTTGTCTTTTACTGTATTGAACAGTGTTTCAATTATTGTTTTGACGAACCTTTTACGCTGCCATTCGTTAATAAGAACTATCTAGAAAAAATTACAGCAGTTTCAAAACGGAAACGTGCGAAAAAGTCATAAGTAACCTGATGCCAGTAATCAGCGCACTCGTTCAGTTTCAGCGACTCGCAAAGGTAAACGAGATTTAGTATGTCCTTCTGGAAGCAACTGCCTCCGAAGCCTTAAAAGTCTTGAAGATCAAAGTGAAATGCTATCAGCGTGAGGGCGTCATACCCACGCTAGCTTGCAAAAATTTGGATCCTATTCGCGAGTCGGTTCCAACCGCCTTTGCCACCTCACGAATGTCCGCACCAGTGAGTTCACAAATGGCGCTGATTGCGTTAATATCTGAGATTCGCTGTGCCAAAAATGCATTGGCTGCCTTAAAGCACTTCGGTGTCATTTTCAAAGTGACTACGTTAATATATTTGAGGTTAAAAAGAAGAACTCAATCCCCCTACATTAAGAACTCCTAGAATGCAATAATAATAGTTATGACTGAGTATCTGATCCGAACTAACGCGTCTTCCATACAGCGCATCATCCCATTCGCGCCGTCATTCGCGATTACAGACATGAAATAGAGATATAATAGGAGGTGGAGACAGAAATAGCAACGGAGCAGCAAAAAAGGGTGACAAGTAAACATCTTTCCAAAGAGTATCACATCTGTTTGCTAAACATAGACATAGTACTGCATAATTCATAATGACAGGAAAAGACCGTTACCACACCAAGGGAACTGTCACAAAAGATAGCTGAACATTACCAATAACTCCTCAGATTTACTCACAAACGCAAAGTTCAAAACGCACTGCTATATTTCAAGCTTCAGAAAGTGTGCAAGGAGGAATGAATTTCAAATATAGAACTCTAAAAATTTCTTGGTAGGCAGGAAGGATGGCGTGATGGGAAACTATTTAAAGGGGTGGTGTTGGTTTACATATTGCCTGCTTCAACGAAACTGTTCTATTATATCACCCTGGGAAGGCAAATGGAGGCAACAGATGGAAGAAGAGGGAAGCAGTCGACATGCACCGGCTGCCCCTCACAATTACACAGGCTCAGAGAGGATGGCAAAGGAATGGTGTATATCGGCTTCAGCAGTGTGGAAATTTGTACGCACCACAGCGGCGCTGAGCGTCTGAGCAAGTAGAGCCATATGATAAGTCGAAGCACGTCGACATGAATTATTCAACATAACCTAGCAACATCACAACCATCACTGCTAGAATAACGCATCACGCCGCCATTCTTCAGCTCTTCAACGAACATTAGCCCTCATATAGACCAGTGGAAGCAGTTTAATATCCATTCGACGAGATGCTACCACTACCGGATTTCAGTGACGTGAAATCCGATCCTGATGATCCAATGTCGTTTTCTCTTAATCATTAAGAAACCTCGTGTGCTCTACACTAAATTGCGTATAAGTTCAAACGAAATTTAGAAAGAACGTCTCTGATATGATGTTAATATTTAGAAAGAATAAACATCGACAGAAATTCAACGTTCTGCTCATTTTGGCCAGTCTACACCCTTATAATGGAGGCTGCAATGTTGTCTAACACGTCGGCTTGGAATAAAGAACCGACGAACCCTGTTGTCAGTGACTCCAAATATCGTATCGCAAGGTATTCCATCGATTACATTTATCTCAAATATTAGCACTGAACTACTATGAATTTCAGAAGACTTAAGTTAATACATTTCTTTGCGGTAAACCTGCTGCAATGACTAAAACCTGTCTAACACTACCGCAGTATCCCTGTAAAGTCAGTAACTTCACATTACAGTTTTCGCCACGTAAACCCGCCTTCAGTAATTAACGGATTACATTTACCGGCGGAATCGGAACGCTGACATTCTTGGTAGCTGGCCAAAAGCATCCGAATGATCTCTCCTTTTGGATATTTGCCACGGATAACGGCAATTATGATGGTGATCGAACCAACTGCTGTTCAGCTCAACAGAGCGAAGCGGCTTGCGTCCAGTGCACTACTGCACTTAGATATCATTGAACCGTGGCTTGCTAAGTGGTTTGCCTAGGCGACTAAAAACAACGAGAAGGGGTGTCGTGTTGCGGTACAATCCGGTGTAATGACAACCATTCGTCTTATGCTACCGTAGTATCAATGTAAAGTAATTAAGTAACTTTACATTACAGTTTTTGCCACGCGTATCCGGCATCAACAGTTAAAGGATTCCATTTTTTTGTCTTCTTTCTTTTCCTTGAGAACTGCATGTGCATTAGCGCGACAAGAGTAAGACTCGGCGACAGACTGAATGCAACATGCAGCTGAGCATAACAAATATCATACCAGACTTAAGAAAGGCGGAGTTACTCTGGTACTGAACTTCATAACAATGAGAAACTCTGGAGTCGTTAATTGTCATTATTTCAAATATGAACAGAACATTTTACTCTTAAAAACTAGTAGATTTTCAACGACTTCCTAACGCATTCATGCATTATAAATATAAATATAGACAGTAGCATGATAACACGTAGCGTATTATTCCGTTTTCAACGGAATTTATGTAATTTAAGTAAGTTCCGATGAGACTAGTGAATTATGAGAAAACACACTGCAAGACAGTTTAAAAGAGATTGTGCATCCCTGTTTTATACTCTAATCTGTGATGGACCACTGCAAATTCCAGGCTGATGCCCAAAACCACAATTCTGACGATCTGCGACAGATGCCCTTACCAGTTTCGAGAGCTCTGATGACCACGTCTTCATTGTTAAAATACGTTTTGCTGGTACCCAACGACGATACATGCTGGCCAAAACTTCCGCTGCAGCAAATCCTTCTGGCGTTTGCTCATGGCCAATCAGCACTCGGTCTGGATTGAACAAGTTCGCAATAGCCGTTCCTTCAGCCAAAAATTCTGGATTTGACAGTACCTAGAATACAGAACGAACGATAAATATATCTATGATATCAAAAATTAGAGATGAGAAGAAATCTGAAAGATGGAGAAAATGGGTGCAGAGAGATTAGTAGGTAAGGTTGAACTTTATGGCAATAAATGATATAAAACGACTGATTAAAACCACTACCAAAATTTGGTAGAAAACAAGCGGCAGCAGTTTATGCGCATCTAGCTTTCAACAGCCGCAGAACCCAGCGGAATTCTACAGCCTGATTTAAAGCTTGTGCTCACCAACCTTTGAGCATTTTCGCCTGCTTCTACAACTGTTGCTTTTTCGAAGGCAATGCAACAAAAAACCGCAAACACTGAGCATTACGCCAATCCCAAAGATGTCATGATCGCCTCATTCAGCAGACTGGAGGCCGATAGCTGTGCCGTTGATTGACCTCAAACACCTAGAGAGAATTTTTCTTTCGCACGTGCAATCAAGACACTGTTGACGCGCTGACAATAGTCATCTATACGCTGCGAACACTCTAGACCAGGGACGTTTGCTTCTATCATTCATTTTCTGGAATGGATTTCAGCATACAACACCGTACCCTACCTGCCTCTGTTCACATTGCTTCCCTCTGTCACTCATTTAAAACTG